GGGCTGAGGGCAGGACAAGTGGCTGCCAGGGTTAGCACAGCATCCAGGGCAGCTGCCTCAGCTCTGCACATCAGGTATGTCAGATGGGTCCAGTTTCATCCCAGACATCCAGGTCACTCAAAGAATCTGTGCTTTATCATTTTTTTCAGGGGACTGATGGTGTTAGAAACTTATCTTTAGCAACTTTACCTGTTACCTTGTTAACCAAACAACATCTATTCAATGAGAATCCATCTGGTTCAATAGAAATAGATCTTTATTAATAACATGCACATCATATGTATATTTAAAATACATATACATTTTTCTACAATTCACTTTAGAAAACAATTTCATAAAAACCTTGAATCAGGTTCCAAGTAACTTTAAACATTAAAAAGCCATTATTTATTTTTTTTGTTATAGAACCAGTAGGTATTATTCCAATTAAGTGGTGTATAATCAGCATGTATTTCACATAATGCAGGCTCATGCGTTTCAATAGAAATAGGTGTTCCCTTTTCTGCTTTGTTAATCATGTCAAATATATGATGATATACTTGACAACACCTGCCACAGTTATTAGATGCAATTGTGATTCCCTGCTGAGAACGTGCTGCACAGATGGCGTTGAAAAGCTGGAGACAACTTTTTTACAACTTTCTGAGTTCCCATGAGGGGTACCTGGGTAGATAACCCAGAACCCAGCTACAACAGAAACCAGAAAAACAGAATTTCATGACCAGCAAAGAGGAAAGCAGTCTAAAAAAAACCAAAAAACAACAAACAAACAAGAGAAGAGTGAATTGCCATATCCCCTCTGTTTTCATTGCAAAATGAAGTCAGGGTCATGTTTCCCAAGGCCCTGCTGAGCACTGAAGCAGATCTGTATGGAGTGCACAGACTTATCACCTATAGAGGGTCTGCAGATTTACAGAACATATACAAAGGCTCATATGAAGATGGGACTTTAAGGCACGAGAGTCCATGTACTCAACACATTCATTGAAAACAAAAGTTCCATTTACAGTGCAATATGAACATAGTCAAGAACTCAAGCGGCAGCTCCATAATCACTTTCACCAATAATTAGGCAATTGAGGAGTATTTCTGCAGTGCAGAGCAGCCCCAGCCCTGCTCACACTCACATGCTGAGTGTCAAGTACAGGAGGACCCTCCCTGGCTTTGATGAGAGGATCTGTCCCAAGAAACTTAGGTGGTAACTGAAGTGTTGACAGGACCAGGGCCCGTTGTCCCAGGGTGTCCCGCACCAGGTACAAGCACAGACATCTCCTGGTGTCTGCACCCCTCTGGCCTTCAGCCACAGCTCCTGGGGCTCCAGAAGGTGGGTGACACCCCTGCACCCACACTGGGCCTCCCTCCAAGCCATCCCCACCCCTGCAGCACCCGGGATGGGCCCAGCATTTGCAGCCAGGCAGGAAAAAGGGGAACAAAGAAAACTGCGCTCATTGACGCACTAATTACAGTCAAGTGTGCTGCTATTCCAAGACAAAAATGAATTGTCCTAAGCCAGTCATTTTCAAAATTATCACCTATCATTACCAAGTCTGTCCTTGTCACCCAGCTCATCTATATTCTCTCTGATGAATATGCTATCTCCAAGGCAACTGACTCAAAGGGAAGGAAAGACTTGCTTTACATCCAGTGCAAACATAGCCCATATGTGGGAGTTCCTAATGCAGTCATAATAGAATATATATATATCTATCACTGAAAGTTGACCACCTACAGACAGATTCACACATTAGAAGCCAGAAGAGCTGAATTGTAGCTACAAATCCAAAAAAAGAAAAATCACTGTATGTAATTGCATTAAAATGCTGGTACCAGGTAACTTGGTAACTCAATGTTAAAATCAGTATATAATTCGAAGAGTGTCAAATTAAATATTTTGGGAGTAACTTGCAATGTTATTGCAACTTTGTACTTCTTTATCACCCCATAAACTATGTTTTTTAAGCACTAAAGTAGAATATTTCTGAGCCACGTCTTAACAACACAAATCACTGTGCAAAGCAGAAGGCAGTAAAAGCTTAAGCAGATTTAAAGTGTTTAGCATTTTGGACATGTGGTTCAATTTCAAATAAAAAAGGGAACCATAGAAACCACTAGTTTTCCATAAAGAAATAATCCATTTTAACAGCTCCTAGAGCAAGTAGAAATTATAAAAACAAAACTAAACAAACAAAAACAAACAACAATGTTTTTTGTTCAAGAAAACAATACACAGGAAAAAAAAATGAGTAAAATACCATCCTCTTTCACAGGTAGCCCAAGGAGGTTTGTTATCTGTTCCAGATTTTTGTCTGTCTTATCTGTTCAGTTATCATAATACCTCATCAGAGAAGCTTTCAATGGATAAAAAGTATCTGCCTCTTCTAGAAGGCAAAAAAATTACTCTTCAAAGACAGTTCTGCCAGTGTCAGTGGCTTTGTTCATGTGAGGTGAAAGGCTTTAAACCCACTGAGCTTTCTCCTTCCACTGAAACATTCTTAATTTTACATAAAAAGTTTTGTCTATTCAGGCCAGAACCATCCTATGAATATAATAAAGTAGATCAGTGAGAGAGAAATAAAGTATTTTAACATTTCATGTAGCTGCTAGATCACTAGGAATCCAGGCAAAAATGGACAAGAAGAAAAAAATAAGCATAAATCAGATCAGCTCAGAGCAGAGAAATACATAGTTTGAAAAATCAGAAGAGAGAGGGAATTTTCCTTTACCACCTACGTGTTTTCCAACGCCCCTACTCCAGCCTCTAAGCTTGGGTGAGACACAAGGTGCCAGCAGAGGCCGGTGAGCTCTGGGGATGGTGGCACCTCTCCCAACAGCCATCGGATCATCAGCCTGCCTGACAGATGGGTTTTTCTGCCAGCTTTTACTGGTGGCATTAGGCTTGTTCCCCACACCTCGTAATCAGCCTGGCCTTCCTCAGCCAGGCCCTGTCCAGATAGGCACAGCTACTTTTAGCTAGAGATTTCTCAAACTCTGGCAAATGTGAGCTCTGTCATTCACAGGATTTGGGGCTGAGGCAAGCCCAGGGCTGGCAGGACCATAACCACACATACCAAGCAGCTCTGCCTCCAAATTACTCTGACCGAGGGCTTAAAGACACCCTTCGTAAGAGACAAGTAAATGAGCCTTGTCTCAAAATAAAAACAAAAGCTTGAACTTTCCTCATGACTAACAGCACCTCCCAAACAGCACTGCCCTGCTTTTCCAGCCTTCCCACAATATCTGTGCTGTTTATGTTCTCCAGTTTGTAGGCTTTGTTTTGAGTTTTTGAATAAGCCTTGTTGTTTTTTTAATTTAAAAAATAAATAAATCTGGGTTTCACTGTTGCCTTCTGCCTCCTAAAACTGCACTGCCTTCTAGCTGCTGATATCAGAGTTAATTTTGCTCCTCACACCTCCTGCTTTCTCCTTTCTGTCTCCTCTCTGGCACTAACACATGCCCGAGAGCTGCGATGATTTGCGCAACACACACGAGTAGGATGCTCTAAGCAGGGTTACAGGAGGAATCCTACACAAAGCACATCCCTGGCAAGCAATGATATTTGTTCATACTGTACAATGCTTCAGAAATAGCATCAGCCACATCTGCAAACACTTTCAAAATAATAAAAAAACCCAGGTTCTTAGATACCTATCTGCCTCCAGCTGAGTGTGCGCTCTTATTTACCTTGCTTTAAAGCTTTAAAGCCAACAAGGCAAAGCTGGTTTCTTCACTCTAAGCCAACAGACCTGTGGGGTTTGGATCATCTTGTGTATTAGTTCAGCAATTCTGGGGTGTAAGTTACCCACAGGACAACTGCAGGTGTGTCGATAACAGCTTGTTTACAGACTCATTAGTCCCATTTCCCCGGGTTTAGTGCAACCTTTGCTTTTGACCCCATTGCTGGAGCATCATCTTTTCCCTTATTTTGTTTACTCTTTGGTATTTTCATGACATAGCTTTGGCAGCTATAAATCTTTCCCACTTGTAGACATCAATTTGCTGAATGTGTCTCATGTCATAGATTGTGAAATATACATTTACATATTCTAAGGTTAATTTCCAGATTGAAATTAGACATTTCACTTAATCTGAAACACTATTACTAATTCTGAGCAGTTTCAACAGGAGAACCTCTGAGGTTTTACTAGCATCTGTCACATACATTCATTCTCTATCTGTGAGAGTTATCATTGTTTTTCTGCCTTTTATATTCCACATAAAAAGAAATTACTGTCTGTTCCCTATCACCAATATGAACCTCTGACCAAACACCAAATCAGCATGCAAAGAAGTATCAGGGAAACAGCAGAGAAAGAATCAAATGAAGTTAATGATGATGGGCTGAAGAAACAATCTTTCCTGTGAGTCATTCTGGTTTGTATTAAAATAGCAAAGCAGATACCAGCTAAGAAAGAATATAAGTAAAAGGTGAATGCAATTATTTAAAAAAAAACAAACAAAAAAAACAAAAAAAAAACCACCAACCCAAACCCTTGCAAATCCCAGTAGAGACTGTCTTGTAAGTAGCAGACAAGTTAAGTCTCTCAAAATCCTAAGCAAAAGGCTGTTTCCTTTGGCACTGACTTCTTCACGGTCAAAGCATTTCCCAAAGAAACTTTCTATCTATACCTTTACAGTAAATAACTTGCCTTTTACTCCTCACTGTTAGACTACTCCACTGCTTTGGGGGCTCCCAAAGGGCATAATGTAACCACAAAGTGATTTTGAACGTCTGTATCTACACGCAGAGAAATGGAATGCAGCTTTGTTCCTACAAAACAGATCGCACGCAGTCTCTGCGGACAAGGACCTCCATGCTGCCCCAGCTCTGGGTGTCTGCCAAGGTACTTGGTCACCAGGGGGTCAACAGCAGGGGCAGCAGAGTGACTCAAAGTACCTTCCACTCAGCTCTGAATCCGCCTTTGATCACAAGTACATCTGCAATTAGTGCCTCATCTTAACACCTCGACAAAGCAGTTCGAGCATTCAGAAACAAACATCAGTGGGTCTAACAGCTACTTTAATTCATTTTATAAATAAGCAACTGAGAGTTTTGCTCCAAGTGGCTGCTGCTGTAGCCCATCCCGTACACGGCGCTCTCTGCAGAGTAAGGCACGATGCGATACGAACGCAGCTCTTCATAATAGAGAGACTGGGAACAGCACTCCTGCACCATCAGCTTCAGCCGTTTTCGGGCGTCAGAGTAAGCAGTCCTATAACACGGAGCCTCCTTAAAGTATTCATAGCTCTCCCTCTCTGTCTCTAGGTGAATCTTCCTCAACAGATTGTTAATTAATACAGACCTACGGAGATAGGCTTCAGGGTCGTCCAGGAATTGGAGCTTCTGGAGAGAAAGTTTTAGAATACAAGTCCGGTCCTCGGGTAGTATCAGGTGCTGGGGAGTAAAGAGCAAGTAAACAGGTCTTTAACATCAAGGAATGAAACTGGGGGGGAAGATGGGGTCTTTCAGGAGAGAGCTACTCACTTTTGGACAATACTCATGGTAATCTTGATGTAAATGTTCTTCTTCTGCATATTTTCTCTTAAAGTAGGCTACTTTCGACGTCGTTAATGTCTTTGGTAGGACCCGATCAGATCAGCTCTGCACAAAACAAGAAGAAAAAGAGCGTCAGTAATACTGCCGTGCTGGCTGTAGTGTCATGATCCAGGGTGTATAGAGGATGGAGGGGTGTAGAGGTGGGGTACAGCCAGGGTGATACTCAGCCTCCACCTGCAGCCCTCAACCCACAGGAAAAAGAATGGAGAAGCTGGCAAACATGAAGGCGTTTCTGAGCCGGCACCCTGAGGTTTGCCAGCACTGCAAGCCTGGCTCCAGAGTGACAACCACAGCACTGGACACATGCTGACACTGCTGGGCAGGGTCTCCAGGTCCTACAGACCAAGTGGAGTTCACCCTGGACAGCCACAGCCGTGCACAGTAGGGCGAGAGAAATGCCCAAGCCAGGAAGGTCACTATGCACGGCAGGAGGGACCAGGATAGGGCTGCCCATCTACAGAACAGGGGTCTCTGCCCCACACTGGGGTGTGTGTGGAGCAAGGGATGGTTACAGCTTCCACACACCATGCACAGAGCTCTGTGACTTCCCTAGAAAACCAATACAGAGCACATTCACTAGATGGTAGTGTCGTCCCAAAGAAGCAGGAGAGTTCCAGCTCCGTGGGAGGGTGGTGGAGCTGGTTTGGTCTCTGGGTTTCTTCAGTTTGTCAGAGCACACAGGACAGAGGCTCATCCTTTGGGCTAAGAAAAAGGTCTACTGGGCTTTTGTCCTGTAACCAGAGCCCAGGGGATGTTCCACTCAACCAGAGCAGAGCTCTCTGTGCACCCACAGCTCAGCCCTAGATTGACAACTCCTCATGGGAGCACTTGAAATTTAGGTTCTCTGCCACAGCAGAAAAGCAAAAAGGTGTTACACAGCCAAAACACAGACCTCATGTCACTGGAAAGATCCCACTGCCATGGGACATGGGTGGCTCCTTTATTCTTAGCTGCAGATGGGAGTGAAAAGATACCCACACAACTATTTTAGGGACTGGTGGCATCTCTCCTTCACTGGCAGGAAGGAGTAATGTGCTCTCCCTTCCTTCCTCTACATCAAGAACCCACAAGAAGTAGCTGAAGAATTAATCCCCTCATAAGAATATTCTTGTGTTTTCTCTCTGAATGTCAAGTCTGTGAGGAGGGAGGTATCCCATAAAGGATGTTACAAATCTGGGCAGAAAACTCATGATTGGTGAAGAAACATCTCATTTGGAGCCAAAACCCCCAACCCTGCTCTGGGACCTGGCCCAACACAATTATATGCCACATAATAAATTCTTATGCCACAATGTTTGCTAGCAGGTTTTACCCCAGTATTTGAATTACAACAGAGCCTGGACATCTTGGACTTTTAATTACTCTCGGTGTTGTCTGAGCACCATCACAAATGCATTTATCTTCCCACTGCCATGAAACAGGAGAATGTTACAGTTTTCCCCACTGTACTCTGAGGAAGACAAAGGTACAGAAAGGTGAAGTGGTGTTCCCATGGCCACCAGGCTGTCAGAAGATGGGAAAGGAGCCAAACCCAGCGTAAAGGTTAATGAGCCAAACAAGGGTCCAACCTTCCCCTTCAAGCTAAGCCTCTAAATGTTAAAACTCATTCCCTTTTTCCAGGAAAAGGCTGGAAGCACAGACCTAGCACTGTCTGTGTGCAGCACAAGCAGAAAATCGGACAACCCCAGAGTGCAGAGCATTGCAGCTCAGCCCTGGCTCTGTGCACACCCTTACTTTGCTGCTCCTGGCTGCAAGAATCCCTCTCCCTACCCTGGAGATAGAGGGTGACAGTGGGACATTTGGTGTCCCCTGAACACAGGTGGTCCTGGAAGACACCAGCAAACAGCAGGGAGCCAGGACATGGCATGGAGACACTGGAGCACTGGCATGGTGGAACAGGGAGGGAGAAAGGGAGAGAGGGAGAGAGGGAGGGGGGGGTTCTGTGTTTTAGCAGGTACCAGAGCCTGGGGGCTGATGCTGTCTGGCAAAATAAAAGATTATATTTTACAGAGGGACATGTATGACCATCCTGGCAATGGATTCATCAAGTATCCAACTGGCACCCCCTTTCTGGGGTTAGGTTCAGCATCCTGTGGGTGCAAGACGGTTGGCTGTATTCCTATTCCTAAAGACCTTACATCAGACAAAGCAGCAAAATTATAACTACCCTCCATAACATGGTTTAGTAGCAAGGGAGGGAAACAACCAGCAAATGAACACCAAGAGCACCTCTGGGCTGTAATGTTGGTTTCAAATGTGTTCCCACTTGTAAGTGGAAGGCTATGCTCTAAGCACAAGATGCTTGATATCATGCTAGCTGTGAGCAAGTTACAGCAATTCCAAATCCTCAGGGCCCTGGGCACCTATTTCCCCAGCACAGCAGCTTCCACAGGTTGTCGCCTCACTCTGGGAGGGAAGAGCTGCTTCTACAGGGCAAAACGTGACCCGAAGGCAAGAGAGTTCCATCAAAGGGCTGCTTCACAGAAGCTCAAGGTCTGCTCTGTGCACAGTGTAGCTGTCAACCCATCACCACACACCTTTACTGTCACCATCATCTTTTGTGGCTATTGGTGATGCCCACACATCTGTCTGCAGGAGCGGGGGAACGAGAGCACAGTCTGTGCCCTTCCTCTGTGCCTTCAACACCAGCACTGATGCTAAAACCTGCCAGGGGCACATCTCCCTGCAGGAGCCTTGCAAAGACCAAGCCTTTCCCCAACACTTAGCTTGAAAGCCAGAGCAGCCTGGCTCCCTGTGTGCTGAAGGGCTGCTTGGCTGGGGTTATCAGCATGCAAGGCTGGAGTAATGCTGCAGTGAATCAGACCCTTAGTGTTTTGTTTAAATATAAACATATTGAATCAGTGCTTTTTGTGTAGAGGGCCATTCTCCTGAGCCAAGTGTTTTGACAGTTCCAGCAAGGTGGTATGAGTCACTACCTCTGCCTCACTCCAGCCCAGAGAGGGATACATCTTAATCACATTACATTTTTTTCTGTGCTACACCACAGGGCTCAGGGCCAGAATTTCCCCACGGGGATGAAGCAGCGTAGCCCTGAGCTAGAGCTTTGTCCTTCCAGCCTGGGTGAACCTCGGGAAAAGGCGTGCTCAGCACCCGGCCAGCTGGGAGACCCCTGCTAGTCACCCAGGCTGGAAGAATTTACAATTTAAATTCCCAACAGTGGGCAGAGCTGCCAGGGTTGGGGAGTTGAAAGGCAGGGGCTGCCTGTTCCCCCTGGCTGGTGTTTCCACCATCCCTGCTCTGAATGCACAGCACATGGGAGCACGGCGGCTGGAGCTGCCATTAAGGCTAATGGATGTTTGAAGCATAAATCCCACACGCAGCAGTGAGGGAATAGATGTCTCTGTCTCAAGCCCGGATCTCTCCAGCGCTGCTCCGTGAGGGCTTAATGGTACTTTCAAAAGAGCAAATTGTGCCTGTTCCTGTTTATTTCTCCAGGAATAATTACTGGGCTCTACGGCGTGGTACCCACAGAGTTATTAGGCATGTTTGGACAGAGGGTTATCTTATCTAAATTGGATTGGAAATAGATTTCTAACACAGCAACTTCACAGCTGAACTGCAAATGGCAAGAAATTCTCTTCATCTGGCCCCTGCACTCCTGCATCACCCCAGCAACAGGAGCCCCTCTTCGGCACCGATTAATGCCGGGTGATTTCCACAGGGCTACAGACTAGCCCAGGGTGCAGGTGGGGTTTAACAAATGATAGAATGGCCAGGAAAAAGCAAACAAACAAACAAACAAAAACCACAAAAAAAAACAACCAAAGCTTGTGCTTTTCCACCTCAGGTGACAGAGGGGGATGTACAAGCCCTGGGTCTGCACAGCAGCTCTGCCCCAGAGCTCGTCTGCAAGACGATGCTCGTCTGCATTTCCCCACACCTGTCTGTGCCTCCACCTCTCCTACTTTTCCTCGGGAAGAAATCATCCCTGGTGGCTGAGTGCTGCAGGGGTTGCACAAGCAGGTGCTATTGGCTTGTTGGTGCAGAGGTCTGCAGGGGGTGAGCACAGAGGCTAGCTGGCCCAGCCAGATCTGCCGACACTGCGTGGAAGGTGGTGAGTCAAATGTGCTGGAGCCCTGCAGGGTTTCCTCTATCAGCGTAAGGCAGGAAAATCAATATGCAAGCTAGAGCTGGCTGAGACAGAAACCATTTCTGAGCATCGCTTGCATGCACAAATAGAAAACCTGAGGCTTCAGAGCACACAGAAATTGGCATTTAGTACCAGCAGGAGACGTGACTTTGACATGGCAGGAAATATCATCATGTCCTTGCAAGTGCTGTCAAACTGCAGCATAAATTCCCCCGTCTATAACCTTAGCAGCACTTGCAATTAGGGAGTGCTCAGCTGAAACCCTTCTCTGATCTTGCATGCTATGCTGCTGCATTTCCCTTCTTCCAGGGGCAGAAAGACAGCTGATCCCACTATAAGATTCCCAGTTGATAATGCAAAGCTACCAGACCACAGACAGATGAGCATGTGGCTCGAAAACACATGCAAGCCCCAGGATTCCCACAGGCTGCCAATCAATTGCAGCCCTTCTAGCATACTGGGTCTTACTCCCCACTCAGACAGAGAGAGCTCCCCTTAATTGACCCATGGAAAGGTGGGGACCCACAGCCATGCTGTTGTCTACTGGCTGGAGCTTCTGGTTTTGCACTTTAAAACTGCCTGTATTTTCCTTTGCTAATTGCTTAGCAGACCCCCCTAATTGCAGGTTCTCCCTGGGCTCACGTGTTCAAGGCACAAGCATCTGAACATAAGTGCATACAGACTTAATGAGTGGACTGTTCCCACCTCACCCCTTGCAGTCCCACTGCTTTTATCAATACAATAAAATCATATTTCCAGCTTCACCCCCTTTCAACACTCATCCAAGCCATTTCCCTCACTCTGAAGGCAAACCCGACCCACCGAAGTCTAGAAACTTGTTAGTTACCTGAGGATGCAGAGTCAATCTGCAAAGGGTCTTTCTGGGATAGTCTCCACAGTTCTGCTAAGATTTCCTCCTCTCAGGAGCTCAGCAAGCATTTCTGGCAGCACGGCACTGCTGAAGGGCTACCTGCCGTGGTGGATCAAGGAGAAACACACATGCTTGAGAAGGCAAAGTCAGGACATAGAGGGCAAAGCAGCTGGACTGCAGGAGAGGGGAGTGCTATTTCAGCAGTCCCACGGGGCTTAATAACAGAGAAAATAAGAGTTCTGATGTCACATCCAAGTCTCTAACTCTGTCCTTGCTTCCTGAACTCCTTTTCAAATGTCAGAAAAGTGAAATAAAACATAAAGATCATTTCAGCCTCTCACTGGTACAGCTGTAGTCCTCTTGCTGCAAAAATACAACTTGCTCTTCTAAATATCCAGAAGTTTCCTGAGCTAGAACACGATTACTGCCCTGAACACCACCACTTAAAACAGCACATTATTTTCTCCATTAA